GCCCGGATAGGCCCGTTTAGGACCGCTTGAACCGGCCCACTTCCCAGCCGGTCCCGGTCTCGCGGGCCTCGCCTATGGGACCGGCCCACTACCCAGCCCACCTCCCCACGGTCTCGGTCCTATACGGTTAGAACCGTTTAGACCCACTGCCCATTTGGACTTGCGGTCCTGGGTCGGGCCCTGTCCTAACCGGCCCATATGCCACCCTTACTTAAGCTACGTTTGATTTATCCAAGAGCATTTAAAATTCTGGAAAAAAAGGATTGAGAACCAAAGCATGTCTCAAGAAGAATAAAAAGATTGTCATGTTTGATTTATTATTTTTGATAAATTAATTCATAAAAGTCTTCCATTGTATTTTTTCAAATGGTATGTAGGAGAACATCATTGAGCATAGAAAGAGGTGTCGTATTAATTACTGATATCCTAATCAATAACACCATTGGGAGGTAAGTGTTGATCCATGGGGCCAAAAACACCTAGTGCCACTCAGAGGCGTTCCTTTATTTTTTCATGGCGATCTCCCAATACTTTTTTTTTAATGAATTCAATATATACTTTGCGTCAGCCGTCAGGCTGTGAATGAACAATATAGATTAAAAGTCTAAGAGGATAAAATTTATGAGACCTTTAATATCTCGTAATAAAAACCTTTAATGAATAATTTTCTAAAGATCTTTTGTGGATATCTGTTGAAGATCTAAAAAAAACGATACCAATTTATAAGTATCTTATCCAATTGAATCTAGGTTAAAATATTTTAGGATATGTCACTTCCACCTAAGTAGCTTTTCTCACAGTGACCAATAACCATGGGGGTGCTCCTTTGAGACATTGAGCAGCATATTTTGAACTTTTTAATTAAAATTCAACAAAAATTGTTCCTTGTAAAATAGATTGCCGATATGCTCCATAACATGAGTCAATATCTATAAAAGAAGATAACAAGGATGTGAAATAGTCTACAGATCTAGCAAAGAGCTATAATGAATTACAAATATAAACGTATAATAAAGAAGTTAAATGGTCAAGTGAGCAGCCAATTATGGATAATTAATAACCTTCACTAATCAGTTAAATGCCAAATAAATTATGTATTCTACTTGTATATTCATGTTGAGCACTAGTAAAGATTTACCAATATTTATGAATCGTAATTGAATTATGACTCAAACTTCAGAAATTTGCACAAGTAATAAATTAGAATGAGAGATAACGTAGGATTATTATCATTATCATTAAAAATAAATGTCTAAAGCTTGTTTATACAATAAATGTGCTCAATTTTATCTTTGGTACTCATTATAATGTATAATTACATTTTTATTCAACAATGTTAAATGAGTATTGTTAAACTGAAGGGTAAAATGGTCGTTTAGCTTTTGAAGGATATTTTAGTAAAATAACTTTACCAAAAGTCTTCACACTTATAATATAATACGATGATATGATAGTTTCTGGACACGCATGTTACGCGTGTATCTCATATCAATGAGTACCAAAATTATCAAAAGTGACATAAAATCTTATTAAAAATATGTTGGACTCAAAACATTAAAATCGTTAAAGGAAAAAGTGTAAGTTCTTGAAAATAATGAATATTGGTTTTTTTTAACTAACTCAATAAAGGAAAAATTCTTGCGGATAGAAATTCTTGAAATTGTAAATTCGATATACATGAGTTATGTATTTGCTTTAGAAGTCCAAATAAAGTGGTATAATGCATAATGTGTTGACCCGTATTGACATTATCCCCAACAATATTTTAGTCCTATATATGACTTACGTACTTCTTTGCGGAAATAACTTGAAAAAGCAAATTTCTATGACACAAAGCATGCACGGTACAAAGATGAAAAAAAAAATATTTAACATGAAGAATCGCAATTATGACAACATGGAAAAATATTTTAAGCTTCTTTGCACTAAGAATATGTGGCGTTTAACATGACCATGTCTATGTTTGATCTTAAGACAATGACACAGCTAATGATATGTTCTAACTGAAATGCGTTTTATTGCAGATTAAAATCTACTTCCAATTGGGCTCCCTTTATGGGGTAAATGTCCTAGAAGAAAAGGAAAAAAGAACCATGCTTATTCCAAAAAATCCAAACAAAATAGATACGAAATTTATGTAGATTAATAACTTTAACATTCATGTTATTAGAGATTTAATCTTTTGATAATCAAGAAAGTGATTATCAAATAATTAGTCTAATTAATTAATTAATTTTATTAGAGTAATGATAATTAGCTCAGATAGCTTTTGTCTAATAATTAAAGTTAGAAATAAATAAATCAAGAATTTAAAAATATAAAAGTATGAGAAAAGGTGAAGATGCATGTGATGTGAAACAACCATATATCAGTATAGAAACCAAAAAATATATAAACTAATTACAGTGGTTAGTAAATATGATAAAGAAATATGAAGATAAAAGACAGAACAATTAATTTTGCAGTTACACAAATTGAATCCATGAGTCGTCCTACGAATATATTTATCAAAAAACAAAAAAAGGAAACCACTGGAAGTCCTCAAACATGAAGCATGAGCATTAAAAGATTTTTCCATTACCATACAAGATCCAGGAACTTCGTTCTATGTCCAAAGAAGTTTTAGTACTCGATCTCGGTTAAGCTCCTGTTCTTATTCTTGCCTTGAGGAAATGAGCTATGACATAGTAGGTCTAACTTTCCATACTGTTCTTTTCCTTGATGAATCAAATTATTTTATAGAAAATCCATGTCGCATTCTTGTTAACATATGTATCTATAATAATACTGAACTTACTGTAAATACGTCCTCATCTAAAAATTTCACTGCAAAGAAATGAATGATTTCCAATTCCCACGAAAGGAGATTATAATTAAAGCCACACAAATTTATCTAAACAATTCTTGGCTTTTTGTCTCCCCCTCTTTCCAAACGTACACTTCAATCTCCTATATTTTGTATTAAAGATGGAATTATTAATTGCCACATAAATATTTCATAATCAATTCCCACAAAAAGTAATAGATACATCCTCAAAGAACATTGTGTACATTGAACGTATTTTTAATGTTTATGGAACAGTCATAAATTTTCCTAGCACTCTATATTTAAAATTACATTTTTGTACTTTAAAGATAGAATAGTTATTAGGATTTTGAAAGTGCAAAAAAGTCATCAAAATTCTTATGGATATTTTGGTAATTCGAATTTTCTTTTTGGGACTTCCAACTTATAATATAATATGATGATATATGAAATAATATGATGATATATATATATATATATATATATATTATATGATCAGTACATGCTGATTCTGTAAAAAAAAAAATTGGCGGACTCCGATTGACCTGAAATTTTGTAGGTCCATAAGAAACGGTCCAGTGACCAATACTTACGATTTCATCATGAATTTCGGATATATCCACTTTTTCGTGTGCGGATAGAGCAGGTACGTAGGGCAGGAAATACTCAAAATAGTGGCAAGAGTCTAACTTTGGCAACAAAAAACAATAACGAGAAAATGACTAGACAAGACTCTCCATACTAACTCTGAACCTTACACATGACCAACCTTAAGCTTGTGAGATAGAATTTAGCATCAAAATATTTGATCCCCACAAGTTCACAAGACTAGTAATTTCATTGTGTGGGTTGAAATGTTAACATCTTCTTCAGGTGATAGGATGGATTCCAATTCCATCTCCTGCTGAGGCAATAGCAAGGAACATGCTGATTCCCAGGTGGCTGCTGGTACTGTTTTCCGAAAATGCCTCAACAGATTAATCATGCGTTTTGCAGTTTCTTCCGTAACAAGATCCTCTCCGGCACATAGAACCTACAAAAGAACCAACTTTCAATTACTTAATGTCTACATTAGAATAAATGTTAATTTGATGTAAATGTCACGGTACAGTAAGATAGCCATACCAATAGATTAATCAACTGTATTAGTGAAACAAGAAAAACAAACGATCAAATGAACCCTCCAAATAGACAGATGGAGCACTAATTGCCAACTGACTAACACATGATACAAACTGCCTTTTTTCTTGTGTCTTATTTTTCCCTATTGCATAGGGTCCAGAGAAAGGGGAAGGGGAAAAAGGGCCAGTGAAAATCAGACTCACACCTATTGTGTGCAGGGGCGGATGCAGCATGAAGTACTTTTGACGCGGAGCATAAATTTATATGTAAAAATTCAATATCATTACAACAAATAGTAGATACGAACCAATAAGTTTAAAATATAAAGGGTTCAATGCTAAGAATCTTAAGGTTGAACCATAGAACTTAAATTCAAATCAGACTCTAATTGTGTGGGACTACCAACAGATACTATTAGATTACGAGCCCTGGTTTTCTGCCTCCTTTCTTAAAAAAGTAACTATCAAAATCACCTGTTTAATAACAAGCACAAATGAACAATTCATTCTTACACCTGCTATTTTGAACTAACCTCTGCAAAAACTGAAATAACCTTTGGAAGGTGCAGATAGTTGGGATCCCAAAGTTCTCTGTCTGATCTGTGAGTCAGAAGATTTGATGAAAACATTAAAGACTAAAAACATATTAACACTTCATATTACATCTTTAGAGTCGGGAAAGTTCATCTTTTAGTACAACAGGCTTCACTCAAGATGAAAATTTAATCAAAATTCTGTTACATCAAATTAATCTATATAAACTGTTCAGTGTTCACATTGCTCTATCATTAACTTAATTGTAAAGTTTAACCACTGAAACTATTGAAATATTACTTCAACTTGGAGAATACAGAGAAGATATGCTATGNAGTGAGATTATTCCAGGAACTCCAATGGTACCTTTTACGCTTGTTAGGATCGGGAACCCGGGTATTGCGGAATATAGCCAAACAACGGTATAATGGCAATAACAAAGATAATGAAATTTGATAACAACGACAATTAAAGTAGATAAAGAAGACACAAATTTAACGTGGTTCGGTCAAAGTGACCTACGTCCACAAGCGGAGAGGGGCAATTTACTATAACAATAAGAGTACAAAAGAGAGTACAAAATCAGAGTAAATACTCTAATTAATCCCAAATACCCTAAGGGAATAACCTCACAAGATCACTCCAAAGAAAGGGTTCACACAAGTGCTTCCCAACACTAACTCTCATACAAAACACTCTTAATAAAGGAAGAAAGGAAGAAACAAGAAATAAAGACTCAAATCTTGTTGGTGTGTCTGCAAATGAGGAGAAACTCCTCTATTTTTAGCAATAAATCCTTAGCCTAATAATGGATATTATGTCATGGTAAATGTCATGAAAATTTGGCCATATTACAAATCTCCACCTTGGCCTAATTTTGGCTGATATAGTAAATTTGCTCCACCTTCTCCGCAAAAGCCCCAATGGGCATATGTCAAAATTTAATGCCATCAAAATCAGACAAGTTGTCTGATACCGAAACTGTAGTAGGGCCTATAACAGTGGAGCCCAATAAAGTATACAACGAACCAGATCTGTGTGCTTTCATGATCACAAGAGCATCTTGAAAAAATTTTAAAACTCCACCTTCACTAGTGAATTTGCACCCAAGGGATTCTAAAGTGCCCAAAGATATGAGATTTTTCTTCAACTCAGGAACATATCTAACATCGGTGAGAGTTCTCACCACATCATTGTGCATTCTTACCTGAATTATACCTTTGCCAATAACGTTACAAGTAACATTGTTACCCAATTGGACAACTCCACCTGCAACTGAATCATATGTAGAAAACAAGTCCCTTCTAGGACACATATGATATGAACAACCGGAATCTAAAATCCACTCATTGTCTAATCTGAAACTAGTTTCAGTTGCTAAAAATATAGTTCCCTCAATCTCATCAGTTGCTACACTAGCTTCGGCGGTGTCAGTATTTTTGTGCTCATTTTTTCTTTCTTTGTGCTTTTCTTTATTTTTCAGTTTATAGCATTCAGAGATATTGTGACCTTTCTTATGACAATAGCGACACTCTAAATTATTGTATCTGGAATTGGAGTCGGATTTGCCCCTAACAAACAAGCCAACTTCCGCTTGAGTTCCACTAGCTTCCCTAGTAATATCACTATCTATCTGTTCTTTTGATTTTAAGATAGATTTAATATCCTTATAAGAGATATTATCCTTTGCATAAAGCATAGTATCTCTTATATGCTTAAAAGATGGGGGTAGAGAACAAAGCAGTAACACAGCTTGATCCTCATCTTTAATTTCAGCATCTATATTACTCAAATCCATAAGAATGGAATCAAAGGTGTCAAGATGAGAGAGAATAGAGGTACCTTCACCCATACGAATTGTATAAAGTTTCTGCTTCAGGTAAAGTCTATTTTCCACCGTCCTCTTCATATATAAGGTTTTCAATTTTTCCCACATGCCTTTGGCTGTGGTTTCTATAGAAACTTCACGTAAAACCTCATTTGAGAGATTTAAAATAATACTTGCTTTTGCCCTTTTATCTATGATGGCAAACTCCTCATCCGTCATTTTATCCGGCTTCTTCTCCTTTCCTTGCAACGCCAAGTCTAAGCCATCCTGAATCAGGATAGCTTCCATCTTTAATTGCCACATTCCGAAGTTTGCACTTCGGTCAAATTTCTCAACATAGGTCTTTATTAGAGCCATATTGGCTACTAAAATAAACCCGGTTAGATCCGGCTCTGATACCAATTTGTTAGGATCGGGAACCCGGGTATTGCGGAATATAGCCAAACAACGGTATAATGTCAATAACAAAGACAATGGAAGTTGATAACAACGGCAATTAAAGTAAATAAAGAAGACACAAATTTAACGTGGTTCGGTCAAGATGACCTACGTCCACAAGCGGAGAGGGGCAATTTACTATAACAATAAGAGTACAAAAGAGAGTACAAAATTAGAGTAAATACTCTAATTAATCCCAAATACCCTAAGGGAATAACCTCACAAGATCACTCCAAAGAAAGGGTCCACACAAGTGCTTTCCAACACTAACTCTCATACAAAACACTCTTAATAAAGGAAGAAAGGAAGAAACAAGAAATGAAGACTCAAGTCTTGTTGGTGTGTCTACAAATGAGGAGAAACTCCTCTATTTATAGCAAGAAATCCTTAGCCTAATAATGGATATTATGTCCCGGTAAATGTCATGAAAATTTGGCCATATTACACTATGAGAGGAAGATGGATTGGAAAACAACACCATTATGTTTCTTTTGGATTATTTTGAACGAAAGATCTATGAGATGTTACATTATATTGAAAATAATGTTTCTGAAGACATGTTTGATACACATTTAAGCCCTGCAGCTAGGTGAATGCATATTGGATGTTTCATGTCGCTTAGGTGACACTTCTGTCCAGGCACCAAGGCACACATGCATTCTGTCCTGCAGAGATTGACACTAAATAAATGTATGACAAAGGAAATATATCAAATACTAAGGAGCTTTTTGTATGAATAAGTTAGGAAATGTTAAGTCCCACATTGATTGAGGGAATGGATTGTGGTCTCTTTATACGTATTTGCGCAATCCTCTCTGCCTTTGAGGTTGAGTTAGGCCTAAGCTCCATTTCTTCCCAGTAAAGTGTAGGAAATTAGATATTTAGTATAAGAAAGCTAGTCATCGAATCCGAACAAACTGCATATTGGCATTGAATCAGAACTTTAAAATGATTTTAAACTTGACTGACATGGTTTTACCTCATACATTAAATTTAAGTCTAGTTCTCTCAATTTCATTGTTGGATGATGGTGGTTAAGGCACAAATTTAACATGTACATAAGCTTGGGGTGATTCTACTGGAATTTACTTGACTGTATGTGAAACAAATTATAAATGAAGTTACATAAGTGAACAATGCTAAGATAACATGGAAAACTCCAAATAGTAAAGACCAGGTGATGATAAAATTACTCCAGTACCTCTCAACCATTGAACAGAGCTGGTCGTGAACTACTTTGGCTTCATCCTTGTCATCTTTTATAGGAAGACAATTCAACCAAGCAATGATCTACCATAAAACTTGGAATGAGAATTTAGTGGTACTTTAACAAGAATATGTACATTGGAAAAGCATCATTTTTTCTTGGAAGATCAAAAGCTATATGCTTTACCAAAACAATGACATAGTGAGCATATGCATACTGTGACATACTCCTCTAAAAAGGTATAAACAAAAGGAAATATGTTGTTAAGTTGTATAAGTTTGACCTTTTCTCTAGCATTTTGTTAGGATAAGCTGTTGTTAAGTCTCCTTCGTCAAAATAGCACATTTAGGAAGTCAGTTTCATTGTATTGAAAGGCTGCCCATGGCTTAATGAAATTCATATGATTCAATGATCAATTCTCTCTTTCAAACCAGTTGCACCAAATATCAGTCACTATGCAGTCCATTTTCCTTTTAATACGTAGAGCCGAGGTACTGATAATGTATGTTATCACACATAAAAATCTCTTAAGTTTCTTTTTAACACGTAGAAAGTGTCTAAAATTTCCTTTTCTTAAGCTGACTAAATACCCTCAGCTACAGGTTATTAAAAGCTAAATAAGTTGGAAGGGAAACCAACCACTAGAACTATATATGCAGGTATTATCTGAAGAGGAACTAAGTTGTTATCCCAGCATATATGCATCTACATTAGAAAAACAATTTCATTTCTGGAAAGATAGGAAAAGAAAAGCTAAATATATAACTGGGGTAATGGAAACCTCCATGCAGTTTTGGAACTAATATTTAAAAAGCTTAGCTATTACAAGCATATTTTAATTTTACTAATAAAAAAGTATCCATGCTTACAACTAAAGAGCTAATTGATAATTATAGAGAACTCTTGTAAATAACTATATGAGTGATTAAGACTTAAGACGAGCACAGTGCATCTCTAATCCTAGTTTATTGCAATCATTTATCGGGCTGGTATAGTGACGTTCAGATTTTAAAATCTATAAGAAGAAAACTGTTGTGAGTTCGAGTCACCCCAAGAGCAAGGTGGGGAGTTCTTGGAGGAAGGGAGCCGAGGGTCTATCGGAAATAGCCTCTCTACCCCAGGATAGGGGTAAGGTCTGCGTACACACTACCCTCCCCATACCCCACTAGTGGGATTATACTGGGTTGTTGTTGTTGTTGTTGTAAGAAGAAAACTGTTGATGAAGTTCGGAGTGATCAAAGTACCCAAAATCTAAACCCGATAATTTAGAATAGCTCGAGTACGTATGAGTTGAGGTATATTTACAATGCATGAACAATAAAAAGTTAGAGATTAATCCCTAGAAAGATGTACCTGCGCTGAGTCAATAGTTTCCCGATGAAACTGACATATCTTACCAAGTGCAGAAACAGCATTGTCATATGCCTCTGCATTCTCTGGTTCAAGAGCATTGAGATGCGTAATGACTACATTGATCCTTGAAAGAGCTTCTGAAATCATGGGATTGATTAAATACCAAAATATATCACTCCTAATTGTCTCATCCTCCATAATGTAAAGGGTCAGAATAACAGGGTGAACAATATAATACCTCCAATAAAAGGTCTGAAAGCATAACCACCATATTCAGCGGAAAGCCCCAGTCCATAAAGTGCATTCTAAACATGACATCAATGGTGTTCGGATGAATCAAATAGCAATTGTAACTTGATTGAAAACTGTCCCAACCACTAAGATACACAAATTAAACCTGTCTAACATCTGAACTGTCGTCGTTGCATGCGTCCAAAAGAAAAGGAAGATACATATTATAGTACCTAGTTTAGACAAAGAAGTAACTATCAGAATTATGATCCAATTTAAGAAAAACTCACAAAGATAGACCTACTTTAGAGCTGCTTCACCGCAATGCTCCATAAGTTGATCATAGATATAAATACATATGCTTCTCTCTTTAGCTGTTTTATCCTTGCCCTTCAAACAGGGAAAAAGAAAGAAGAATGAGAAATATAAATGGAAAACAACCTAGCAGGTTAACTTGACGGTAGTTATCGTGAGTGGAAACTCACCGTCGTAGGCATTAGATATGGTGAAAGCTCATCGAGGAAAGGCATAAAAGAAGCTTTGAATGATTTGATCAATGTAACCAATATTTCAGCAACCTGATAAAACGAATGTTTATGTGAATCAAGAACAACCTCAAGTGAAAGGTTCTATAAAGACAACATGGTGTCATGAGTTATGTCTATCGACCATACACCGCTGAAAATTTCTTCTTCTTGCTCTCTTTCCTCCCTTAGCAATTCAGCTTCCTCAGCATCAAAGTCTTCTGCTTTTGCTCTCTCTGTGAGTTCTCCTTTTCTATGTGAACTTTCTATAATGACGTGCTTTATCTCATCAATGATGCTATGAACCTGATCTTCATTGAGAAGTGGTCCACAGATCTGTAAGGAGACACAAAAAGGACCATACCAAGTGAATAATTATCGTTCTAACTAAATTTCTACAACTAATATTGTTTTTTGCTTAGACAGTAATCATGAAACATTTCATAAGTTGTCTTAACGGTAATTTACTACATGGTTAAGAATCTGTTTATGTCAGTCTTACCTATTCATGCCAAGAGAACTTTTATAATTATGAGATTATGGTAGATTCTAGGCCACGTTTCAAATCTTAAGCATTTATTATGGTCCAAGTATGTCTTTTTATATGAAGAACTATAAGTTCTGCATGTGCTCACAGACTAAATGAATCAAGTCAGATGAAGCTCATATTCTACTTGATCCCTGAAGATCTTACTAAGCAAGTTATTATTGGAACAACAGTTCCTCTTACCTGATTGTTACCGGTTCTCATCTACTAGAAGTAGTCTTTATCTTTTATGTTTATCCTATTAGTTACACAAGTAGATCTAAAGTTATCCTCTCATTTAGAGTATCTTTCAGTTAGTTTATTTTGATATAGTCTTTACGTTGAATATCTCCTAATACAAGGATGTAACGACCCGACCGGTCGTTTTGAGCATTTACGCTCCTTTCAATTATTTGAAGTCTTGAATAGCTTCATATGATATTTTATGACGTGTGTGAATCGTCGGTTTTGGTTTTCAGGTGTTTCGGAATTAGTGCGGAAGAACGAATTTCATGTTTGAAGCTTTAAGTTGGAAGAGTTGACCAAGTTTGACTTTCTAGTATTCGACCTCGGATCAGATTTTTGATGACTTCGTTAGGTCCGTATAGTGATTTTGGACTCGGTGTATGCCCGAAATTTCATTTGGATATTTCTAGAAGATTTCGACGTCAATCGGCGAAAGTTGGAAATTTGAAGATTTGGTATGTTCATAAGTTTGACCGGAAGTTGACTTTGATGATATCGGGTTCGGATTTTGGTTTCGGAAATTGCGGTAGCTTCGTTATGTCATTTATGACTTGTATGCAAAATTTGAGTTCATTCCAAGTTGAATTGATATAGTTCGACACAAGTTTTGAAAATCAAAAAATCGAAAATTTGCTAAGTTTGAATTATGGTGCGATTCGTCATTTCGATGTTGTTATGTGTGATTTGATGCCTCAAGTAAGTCCGTATTATGTTATGGGACTTATTGGTATATTCGGATGGGGTCCCGAGGGGCTCGGGTAAGTTTCGGACGAGGTTCGGATAATTTTTGGACTAAGTTGAATTTTCTAAAGTTGCTGGTTCTGGTGTTCCGCACCTGCGACTGGTACTGCGCAGGTGCGATGGTCGCATAAGCGAGCCCATGAGCGCAGAAGCGAAGAGCACTGCTGGCCAGGAGTCCGCACATGTGGAGTTTTTGTCGCATATGCGAAGGCGCGGATGCGAACATTTTATCGCAAGAGCAGAAAGGGAATGTTGGCGAGTGGTCGCAAATGCGGGGCATTTTGCGTAGAAGCGCGACCGCAGAAGCGGGAAATTGTTCGCAGAAGCGATGGGCTGTGGCTTTGGGCCTGTTCATAAAAGCGAAGGTTGGTCGCACACGCGAGACCGCAGAAGCGAAAATTTGTTTGAAAATTTCATATCATATCTCAGTCTCTGTTGCTATTCATTGACATATTATATCATCGTTTCTGGGCTGATTTTCATGACATTTTTTAGCCCAAGAGACTGGAGAGATCGATGACTGAGTGAGGCCGATGGCTTGATTGTGAGGATATTTATGGGATCGGGCTGCACGTCGCACCATGTTTTATAGATTCATGCCATAATTGGCTTATTATAGCGTTTGGGCTGGATCTGCCCCTCCGGAGTCTGCACACCCACAGTGAGCGCAGGTACCAACTGACTGCGAGTGTGAGTGTCGAGACCGAGTGTCGAGTGATTGGGAGGATTGAGTGACTGTGAGGATTGAGTGAATTGATACTCTGAGAGTATGCACATGGTTTTATCACTATGTTGTATTGCATTTGACATGCACACTTGACATACATGCATAAAGATGCATTTTTCTCATGTTGTACGGTATTACGTCATTCATTACTTCACATACACATTGACATACATGCATAGAGATGCATTTTCCTCATGCGATCTGATAATGAAACATTTACCTGTTGTTGAAAGTTTTTGGGAAAAATCACACATTTCTGACTTACTCATATTTTGGTGATTTCGGTAAAAGATTTGGTTTTTACTGTTATACTTGAAAGCTTGCCTATTTTCCGTGATTGTGAACGAGCTGAGCTGAGCATCTTTGAGTTATTTCTTGTACTATTATTATTATTATATTGTTACGAGTTGTTTCTGGTTATTGGTGTGGGAATCTGACCTTTGTCCAAGATCGTCACTACTTTCAATCTAAGGTTAGGTTTCTTACTTATTGAGTACTTGGGGTCGGTTGTACTCATACTACACTTCTGCACCTTGCGTGCAGATTTTGGATGATGATGTTGTTGTGTATGGCGGGAGCTGGCATTGAAGATGTACATGCGATCCGGTCACAACTGACTCGTGTTCTTGGTAGCTTTAGAATTATTAATATGTTCATGTATATTTCAAACAGATGATGTATTTATTTCGTACAAACTTTGTAAACTCTAAATCTTAGAAGCTCATGATTTGTACTACCAGTCCTTGGAGAGTGTATAAAAGTTCAGTTATTTTATTATTTATTTTCTCAGTAAATCTTATTGGTATTGGATTATTGTAAATTGGCTTATCTAGCGGGTTGGGTTAGGTGTCATCACGGCTAGTTGGATTTTGGGTCGTGACAAAGGAGTAGTCTTAGATAAACTTGTATATATACTCAACTTTCTATTCAATACAGAACTAGGTTTTTCCATCATTTCTTAAGTCTTTATATGGTATCTGAGCCTATACAACTCTAACGAGTACGATCTAATTTTTTTTCCTCTACACCAAATTCCTTTTTCAATGGCCAAGAATGGAAACAATTTCACAGATGTCAATGCGGACAACACCGCTGGCACCAATACCATAGTTCAATTCAATCCCACCTCCCAACTACCTAATAACTTAGTGGCAGCCACAATTTTGCCACTTGGAAAGCTCAGTTTTCCATACTTATGCATCATCATAACCTTTATGGTCACCTTGATGGATCTAAGCCTGACTCCTAACCGTACTATCACCCTTGGCACAAACATATCCCCCAACCCGGACTACGCACCTTAATTCCGTCAAGACCAACTCATTCAAAATGCCCTTATGGCTTATGTTGACCCCACCATTGCCTCCATGGTCGCTGCGGCACACTCATCTAAGACGGCTTGGGACGCATTGCACACTGCTTATGCAAACATGTCCCAAACCCGAACCTTTAGCCTGCGTGATCAACTTGCCCGGATTACCAAAGACTATCGCTCCATTACCGAATATCTTCAAGCTATTCGGTCTCTTTCAGATGAACTAGCCACTGCTGGTGCCCCTGTGTCAAACTCCGAGCTCATTGTTAAATGAACTAATCTTGCCCTAAAGTCTCGCTATGTATCACTAAGATTTCTAAAGAGATATCTCGTAGAGTACCTACCATTCTTATAAGCTTGGACAAGTGTCTTGCTTATGATAATGGACATAAGAAGCTCAAAATCAGCACAGCATCAACATAAGAAAACACTGAAAACTTGGATCAAAGTGCTGAAACCAACTTAACATGACATACCTCTAAGCACTCTTTCAATCCACTCAATTTAGTTGCACATACCTCTGTCTCATGCTCCTAGATGAGATAGATATACATGTGTTAGTTTCTCAGTATTCAGATAAATGAGCTCAATCCTTTTCCCCATAGAAAGAGAAAATGTAAATAGTAAGGTGTTGAAGGTAACCGAATATAAAGTGTCCCCAATAGCCAGTATTATATCGCCAGATAACTGCTTGAGGTACGCCTGGTTTCCACCTTGAGCAGTCCCTTTGTCTACCGCCAGTTTAGCGGAATGCAACAGGAAGTACAATGCTTAACCACCACAATTTAAAACATCTCATAAGGAATTGGAGGAAGCCAAAGAAAAATAAAGAAAGCCATACGAAATTCATGAGATTCTTTTTACCAGCACTAGCACCTTCCCTGACATCATTGTTGAAATCGAATTTCAGTAGGGGAACAAAAATTGAAGCAGCCTGTTTCATGATTTAAGCCATAGATTTCAATTGATTTATTTGAGCCCACTTAACAGAAAAAATGAAGTAAACATGCAAGTGATTATTCATACTAACCTGGGAAATCCATGGGTAGAAGTCTTCTTCCAATTTCTGAGCATATAAAGCAAGGATTTTACAGGCTACAGATTTCCCTGCTAGGAGGTCACTTCCTTTGACACATATTATTTCGTTCCCAAACTTGACTTTGTGTATGCTGCAAAATGTGAAACTTAAGCAAGATCCTTAATAGCCCGAATAACCACCTCTCCCTAGCAGTCTTAGCAGTGATAAGTAAAGTAAAAGAAATAACAAGAAATCCTATGTCTGATAGATATCAAAGCTATTAACTGGGTGAGTAAAACTTTATCTTTTACTGGGTTACTAATACTGATTAAAACCAGGATGCAGTAAACTAGTTGACATCATGTCTCACAGATATCAAAGCAATACAGATCAGCGGGTCAGATTTTTGATATTCTAGAGGACATCCTATGCTACTTTAAGTTGCAGATTTAAACAGAGACAATTTCATGCATTGAATGGCAACAATTTAATGATTATTGAGTAAAAGTTGGAGATAACGAGGAGGAGGGACAGGAAGCTATTTGCATATATTGAAAAAGAGATCTTTTAGCAGGAAGAAGCATAGAAATTAGGAAGGAAACAGAACATGCTCAAGATTAAAGTAATAAAGAATACAACACCATTATAAGGGGATATCTTAAGAGGGTCAGGAGCACGATATGACTACTATGAATCATGGTACAGTTTTTTGGTGTTCTATTACTTGATTGTCTACAGTGCACTTCCCCTTTAGATTCTCCACTGATAACAAATTCTTTACTGATCAAAAAGTAAGAAAAATAAGTTATAGCTTAGCCGACTCCATATCATTTATACACTAATCAAATAATGGTATTCCTCCTAAGAATTGTAAATTTATATGATACTCTTAAAATCTATCACAAATAGTGTGGGGTCCATCCCATAAATTAAGTTTGATTGGCAGCTATTCTCTTTTGCATTGTCAAAAAATGGTAGGATGTAGAAGGAAAATGTCAAATTGTTATGCGGAAGAAAGAAAAAAATTGCATTGCAAATTTTCAACCAATCCTTCATTCTGATTGGTTGAAGAGGTAGGCTATTTCTCCTGTAAAAGGAGAGTTTCGGCTTCTTCATTTCATCACACAGAAAGAGAAGCAACACAATAGTTGCAGAGAGTATTTCTCAGGTATTGTGAGAAATAGACTGTGTAGAGGAAAAATAGAGAGTGAACGATATTGTAGTGAGGTGGGAATATCAAAAAAGGGTTATTTCTTTTGAGTGTTGTAGTGATCTTTGGAGTATTTTGCTCGGACCTATAAAGTGTAAAATTCCTTGCTATAGTGATATTAGTTGCTCGTCTCGGGGCCGTGGTTTTATCCTTTATTCAAAAGGATTTTCCACGTAAAAATCTTGGTGTCGTTGTCACTCTTTTATTCTTGTTAATTACCGTATCTCAATGCTACATTATTATTCCGTTTTTAGTACCGTGAATATTATTTCTGTGGAGATTTATTCCCAACAAATAGAAATGCTTAATTTAGTGAATCATCAATATAGATCAATGAGCTCAGCAACTGTTGGCAACTAGAGTGAATATGACGCAGTAGTATAGAAAGTAAAGATTATTTTCCGTTAGAAGACTATAAGACCACAGTGCACATAGGCTTTTGCTGATTCAGTCGTTTATCCCAGATTGTCTAGAAAAGAAAGCAAAAATCCAAATTAAGAAAGAAAAAAAAATCCAAATGAACTTCATAACTAAAAGAAAATGCCAAACCTCCATAAGTAAAGCTTACCTATCATCTAATTTATCTGAGGATACGGTCTTATCGGGCTCAAGCTGAGCACATTCAACCAAAGGAGGGATGATGGTACTCATGTAAGGAAGAAAATCCTTTCCCATGCACTGGCAAATTCTACCGTATGCCTGCAATGAGATCGAGAAAATACTGAAAGGTCAGTCTAGAGAAAAAGTTTTAAGCCCGTAAAATCATAGGATTAATACATACCTGTACACTGCGAACAATAGTATCAAACTCTTTTGCTTGTGATTCTTGTAATGACTTAAGCACTTCCATAACCTTTAATGACAACAAAAATAAAATAAGAATAATATTCCACTTCGAGAAATGAATAACAAGATCAGGCCACCGTGCCACAGAGAGAAGAAAAGGAGTTCCAAAGTAGAGTCAGAATTTAGGACCAAAAAGGAACTAGTAGGAGAAAATGTGTGAGTCACAATTCGTTGCTCCCAAAAGCTCTAACATATGCGTTCTGCATCGCATGTACAGGCACAAAGAAGTATTGAGGATAGTTGGGAGAAGACCTGCTTAAAGTCATTTCTGAATTTCTCCTTGCCTACAGCCATCCCGACTATGCTTATGCACTCCAAGGCTTGGCTTTGAAGCATGTGATTAGATTTATCATTTGCATCTACCAGGATAGTCCTCAAATATTGCATTACAGAATCATAGTACTTTTGGAAGTGCTCCTGTTGAAGTACAAATAATACATTAGCCATCATTATCCATCATATTGAATCAAAAATAAATGCAAGTAAATACCTTAGACAAATCAGCTGTAGCAGACAATGCATTTAATGCTGCTTGCTGAACCATTTGATTGTCTTTCTGCATTTCAAACAACAGAAATGAGTAGGAAAAAAACAGCATTAATCTCTTAAACTTGTCAGCAGTAATCTAACTTTATACCATGGTGGCCTCTATATTTGCATACCTGTAGAAGTACAAACACTCTGTTGAGTATTCCATCTAAGTAGGGTATCAGAGTTTCTGGCTTTTCAGATCTGCAGAAATTCATGACAGCTTCAGCTGCAAGTGCCTATGAAAATGCCAAAAAGGGTAAAAAGAGTAACCTTGGTGGCATCATGAACTAAACGAAGCAGTAATGACACATCAATCCTACGAATTCTTATGCAAATTTATAGATCATCAACTTTATGGAATATGCAACCCATCGTAAAGGTGCAGCAAGATAGATACTTTTGCTGGGTTTTTTCTGTATCAATAATAATTTATACTTTTATAACAGCAATTTTATTTTGGGAAGTCTGCAATAACCATGAAGTGATTCAACCATTGGTCAAACCTACAATCGTGGAATTTGAGAATCATCCATAGCTGCAGCTAATGCAGGCAATACTTGGTTATGATACTGTTCTTGCAAGTCTGGACAGAAATCAGTCGACAGCTGGTAGATTGCATTAATAGCTGCCCATCTGACTCGAGGATGAGGATCTTGGAAAGAACGCAAAACCATATTCACTATTTGCTCCAAATACTTGATCATCACCTATAAACAGATAAACCATGGGTTCAAGCTAATAGCCTAAGAAAATTAAACTAAGACAAATAAGGGAACTACCTTATATCCTAGAAGTTTGCAAGCAAAGAAGCACCTCATCAATGCTACACAGTAATCGCAACATAATCATGATAAATACACTAATGAGACATCAGATTTATACCTTTGAGGTACCTTTAGCAATAGAAGCAAGTGCAATGAGAGCTGCATGTCGTTTCTCCCACTCAGGGGCAACCAAATAAGCAGACAGCTGCTCTATGGCAATAGGAGCAACAGTCTTGCCACCTAATGCTTTAGAAAACCGGCCTAAACACTCCTTACCAAAACCATAGCTGTCCCTTTCCCCTGCATTCTCATGCTCGGTGTTCGCACTATGCCAGCTAGGCTCATCCTTAATATCCAGTAACAAATTCAATAAGATAGCAAAACAAGTGTCTGTAAACCGTGGCACCCTCTTCATCATGCCAGGGACCTTGTCCCTGGCCTCAACCAAAGTTAACATAAACTCAATTGCCAAGTGCCTCGTCTCCTCTTCCAAACTCTTAGCCTCTGCTATCTCCATTATTGAGCCCACAACAACCACTAGTTGTCGCCTCAAGAATTTAGGCTCATTCTCAGCTAACTCAATGAAAAGATCCAGCACGTCCTTTGCTGCATCCTCCTGATCACCATTGCACAATCCATCAGTCAACGTCTTCATCATACCTGGCAAGAGATCTTGAAACCGCTCCTTTTCATTTGAACTAGGTATGCACTGAATAAAGCTGATGACAGCGTTCATGGCAGCGATTCTCACATCGAGATCATTGAGGGTATCGTCATTCAGTGTATTAAGAAATAAAGGGTGCAACATTTTTACGTAATTAGGGACCATTATTTCACCAATGTCGTCAGCTAGGTAAGCAAAAATTAAGAAAGCCGACTCTTTTAACTTGTTGCTTGAAGTGGAGGTGAGGCATTGGTACAAGAATGGCAGTAATTCGGGCCAGTTATTATCTGGTATAAGTGAAGCAGCTAGATCCATAACAGTGCCACGGAGCTCTACGATGATGGATTTTGATTCTTCAAGCTGGGAAATACGATTAAGGAGAGTGCATTTGATGGTGGATTGAGTAGAGACACTTAGATTGCGCCAAGTATTGCACAAGTCATTATCATCAGCAGTAAGCAACTTACTTAGGAGGACAACACACTTTTCACGGGAATCAATGTTTTGTGAAGAGCTGAGGAAGTTACAAAGCTTAATAGCAAGAGACTCGGGATCCTTGTGCTTTATCATGTTGAACATTGACAACTTAGCCTCCGAATCATTTTCCTCGGAGCTCGACATGTGATCGGAAATAAAGGTTTCAAATGGCTCCGAATCAGGCCCCAAAATCGCCTCCATCTGGGATATCTGGAACTGAGTTGGCTCCGTATCCATTACAGTATTGAGAGAGAGAGAGAGAGATGACTATGAGTTGTGAAAAATGAAGTTTACCTGATGTTAACTGAAAAAACTGAATATATTAAGGTCAACTCCCTGTTTTGTTTCCAAAATCTGAAGATCCCCAAGCAAGACTGTCAGCCAATTTTCTTAAGGCTTACTGTGGTGAAGGTAGGATTTGGACAGCAAACATACCAATTTGTTTTCCTAATTTCACCTCAAATTGTGCCAATAGCTGATCTTTAGCTCTATTAAGATCATTCTTAGGTAAAGTTGTGAACCAACATGACGATGAGGTTTGAGGAAGTGAAGAAATATGATATTTGGACACAAGTCATATCTCTAGCATACAAGGCAGTAGACATGTAACTTGTAAGATTGAGTTGTTGAAGCCAAATAGATTAATCTTTAAAAGATTATTTTTCTCATAAAAAATATTGGCTAATCCAAATAATTTTATTTTATATTTAATGTTTTTGAAAGTTTTTGGCACAGGCTTGGACCAATTTGAATGTACATCTGCGCTCCAGCTTGGACCAATGTGAACATGCATGCAACTGTTCCTATTGCAGTGCAATTATTATTTTATTAGTAGCTTTTGTGGCGACTAAGATATAGTTATAAAAAGTAAACAAATACGCCAATGCATATACTTATTCAAAAATCAAAAATAATAAACTGGATCGAGGTCATGAATTGGTAAAAAAAATTAATAAATCATTATACTGTCAAATCTAAATACCTCTTGAACATTGAATTTAAAGCTTTCCATTGTTAAAAAATTGTAACAGATGACAATAATGAATATAGAGAACCAGGGATAAAAATAATATAATGTGATATGGAACTTTGAGCCACTCAACTTACCTTATTATATGTTCTTCCATTGTAGTCGCTTTTTTCTATTCGGTTATTAAGGGCCAGCAATAAATGGTTTTAATCTTGACTATTAGAAAAAGTCTTCTAAAAATAACACCAAGCAAATTCTTTATGTAAAGGAAGTACCAAAAGAAACAGCCTTTACATCTAATGGTAGTTAGCAAAGAAAATCGCCCATTTAAAAATAAATAAAAAAAGTGCAGAAGTAATTAGAGACTCCATGTGATATCTTTAGGGAGATAGTATTTGAAAAGACTCAAATTATAGCATTTCATACCTTGAGATTCAAGAAAATCTATTATTTATAGTTCTCATACTTCACTAAAATATACCTAGTCGTATCCTTCATCTTTCAATGAATTTGTGAATAATTAAATAGTCTAAACTACTTATATACACGTTACCTTGGTTTAATATGGCAACTAATTCAGCAATAAACAAACCCCTGTTGGTTTCTCTTTACTCTTTGGTGAGATAAGCTTTTTAATTTTATATTTTCTCAGAAAGAAAATCGCCCATAAGACAAAAAGCTCAAACATTCAATTACTTTAAAAACTTATTTTCCTTTCTTAACCATTCAGTGGCTATATTAATGAAATGCAATAAATTGGGGATTCAATATACTGTATGACACAACATTGATTTTGAGCCATCAACTTGCATTATTATATAATATGTATCTTCATTAGCTGTGATTTCTTTACCACTGCATTAACCAAAAAAAAAAAAAAGTTTTGGTTAGGAAACAAGTCAACGTTATCATTATATTATCATATTATACTAAAAATAAAAAGGTTTTATCTTCAAAGTTGAATTACGATAATATCTTTTAAATCTAAGTTACGATTTTGTCCCTAATAAAATATATGATCTTCCACAAAACAATTACTCTTTATTATTACATTAAAGTGGTTGAAGATGGAGAATTGTTCATCTACCTATAATTAGTACAGACAGTAAATTTCTTAATTATTACTCCTTCAAAAGCATTTTCCATTTCATCTTTGTTTCTTCTTCCACGGTAGTTACAATTTTGCAGAGTCTGTTTACCTTCTTTACTCTATAAAATTGCATAACATACTTTCTAATCACTGAGGCACATTATACTATTTTTCTTGTTATGTTAAAAGTTCCCTTTTCCCTAAAAATCTATTGCGGCTATCCTTGGCAAAAGCACTTCACGTTTTCCAGAAGTAAGTTTTTGCTATATTATTATGATTTTNTTTTGGCTCGTTTCTTCAGTTGCAGGTTTCACTTGAAAGTTTAGAAGCATTATTTTTCTTGTGTTTTTCCTTGTTAAAAATCCATGTACAAAATAGTTAATAATTTATCTGGATTAATGATTTAATTAACCCGTTTAAAAAGTGTATCATTTCACTTATTAGTTGGTCAATTTTAATCCCTCTTTTGTTACTACACGAGTTTAATAGATAAGCCGAAAGTTCTAATTTCTTGAAATATTAGCCTATATAGTGTGTAATGGATGTTAGATTTGCCACAAGATTATCGTGTTATACTTACGCAATTATATAATTTATACTATTCAACTAATATTCTTTTGTCAAATTTACAGATGAAAGGAGTCATAATCTTGAATCGAACAAACTGTCATTGTACGTGCAACAATGATATCAATAAAAACCTTTTGATGTTAGTAACTATTAAATATCTCTATCACAAATAACTATTATTCTTTTTGCAGCTTTACACCATGAAATTGATTATGATATACTAGCCACCCTAAAGAAGACCTTATACAACTTTTACAAATTACTGCTTTCATTCGACAACTTCTTCGACAACAACTTCTTGATATGTATGCGGTTGTAAAAATAAAAAGGCTACAATTTCTTAAAGACAAAGGAGAAACTTTTGACATGAAGTATTTGCAACCATAGCCGATGTTGCTCATATTCAAATATAATCTACATGTTGAAATATATCAGTAAGAAAATTATCGCGTTGAATATTTGGTATGACAATCCTATTTTATGTAACTAATATTAGTTGTTCATATGATAACCTCGACCTGCAACAATTAACTTGGAGCTTGTATTTTCATCCCTTAAATTTAATATAAATCATCTCACACATTCTAACATTATTCATACCATTTTAAAAGGTATATTCTTATTAGGCGGAAATCAAATAGGAAAGATCCTACCCTCAAGATAGATTCATCATAATATCTTTTAAACTCTCAGTGAAGATCAGTTTCGTCCCTGAAGAAAAAAACTTTCCATTACATAATTTTGAACAATTTATTACATTTAGAAGTGAGCTGGTAAATTATAAGTGAAGTAATAGTACTTTTATGCTTCAGACACTCAACTTAAACATTTTGTAATAATTAAAATTATTTACGAGTAAATGAAGAGACTATCATTACAATCGCGTCATTATATTGAATTAAAAGAAAAATTGAATTAAGTTTCACAAGTTTATAACTCAAGTTAGAAGTATTATAATCGTCCGTATAAGTTTGTCTTTTCCTATAAGGTGCCCATATGATTATCTTTCTTTGTTTTGTTCACATAAACATGAGAATGTTGCCTTTGATAATTGATGTGTGGCTATAATTCCATAGTTGCGTACATTATGTACCTTGTATTTTACATGCTTTAATGATAAATTATACTTTATTTATGCATAATGGAGTCTATTTTATGTGTAGGTGAATTGAAAATGAAAGTAGAGCAAAAGGGATACTTAAACGTTGAAAGTGTATTCGAGAACAGTGAAAAGGAGAGATCTCGTGAGGCCAGCCAAAAGCCAGGTTGGACCAGGCTTTAGCCTGACGAGGCCAGCCAAAGGCCAGGCTGGACCAGGCTTTAGCCTGGCGAGGCCAGCCTAAGGCCAGACTGAACCAGGCTTTAGCCTGGCGAGGCCAGCCAAATTCCAGGCGTTAGACTGGCGACGCCAGCCCTGAGGCCAAGTCCAATCCGAGTTTTGAAGACTTAATTCGTTCCAGGTTTGACTAGGACTCAGCCCACATGATTAGGGTTTCTTCTACACATACAAATAGACCTAAAAACACCACTTGGAGGAAGTTTTTTCAGCAGCCAAGGGTTTTGCAGCCAGAGGCAAGGAGAGATGGTGGAATCACCCTTTGGGAGTGAAAATCATCAATTTTTATATCTTTTCATCTTTACTCTGTATTTTAATTATGAAAAATATTTGGGATATTGTTACTATGAGTATTAGTAGCTAAATTCCTAATCTAGGGTTTTGATGGAACCTATTGAAGGATGATTTTCTTGTTACGTTAATATAGATTTGCCGCAGTATTTCTAATTTGTTCAACTATATTATTCTTATGGTTGATTGAAGGGCCCTTAATTAGTTGTGCCTATTTAGTATGTATTACTCGGGAGAGAGTGCATATTTAGGTAGTTGTTGAACAACATCACTCTTAAACGTATATGAGGGATCAATACGGAGGTTTAAAATTGAATTTAGGGATAACGAAACCTTAGTGCGATCTAAGTGAGTTGTACTTAATGCCAGCTAGCGTAATTCGGGAGAATATGCCTAGTAAATTGTGGTAATTACTCGGGAGAGAGTTACGACAGTTAGAGTGCTCATGGTCGATAGAGAAGACTTAGGCAAATTTATAGGAAACGTAGCGGAAAAGATTCCGACAATTGGGAAAATCATAAATCTAGACCTCCTTAGTCTTGTCTATAATTTCATCCATGTTAGTTGATAATTTTACTGCTTTATAATATTTGCTAGTTAATTAGTAGAAATAAAAATTAAATCTTTATAACTAGAAAATTATTTGAACTTGTGTTTTTTTGCAATATTGAACGGCTGTGGTTAAGCCTTAGTTCTCTGTGGGGTTCAACTCCGGACTTGTAAACCAGATTATATTTGCATCGACCGCTTAGTCCTTTTATAAGGTATAGGTGGGCGTAATCAAATTTTGGCGTCGTTGTCGGGGAATTAACGGTATTAATTGCAGCTAAAAGAAGTGCTAGAATTCTTAGTGTAGTCAATTTTCTTCATTCTAAACCAAATACATTGAAATTTTAACGTTTGTAGTCTTGGGTGTTACAGGTGCATGCCTAGGAATTCCTCAAGATCTGGTGAATTGCTTGAAGCGATATCAGATCGTGAGAAAGTTTTCAAGGAACTAAATCACGCAAACAAGAGAAACAAACAACAACGAAAATCGAGAGAACAAATCGAACCAAACATGGCTGACGGAATAGAAAATCCAATAAACAACAGAAACAATGAGAATGAACCAAACATTCGGGGTGCGGTGCCTCTTGTACCAGAAACAACATTATATGATTGGGCACAACCCACCACCGACAATTTGGCAACCGCAATTGCAGTCCCTCATATACAAGCAGAATCATTCCAAATCATAAATAACATGCTACATTTGTTGCAGAACAAGGGACTGTTCTCAGGGTCACACATTAAAGATCCTCAGCAGCACTTGAAGAATTTCTTGTCACTATGTTTAACGCAAAG